CATGTGTTTCACCACATATGGGTGTCTATAGATGAATACTGTGTAGCATTCATATATACACACTCCGATTCCTCTACATCCACTGGAAAAGTCTACCCCCCCCCCTCCTGAGAACCATATCCCCCCAAGCACCCCCTCCCCCACCTCCCGGAAAGACCGTGATGGGTATCAGTTCCTTGTTTCATCTCCTCTTCTCCCCTCCCTCCCCCCCACTACCCTTCTTACCTACCATGATGACTTTATCAGGCAAACATTGCTGGCTCTCTGTCCCCCCCCCCTTCCCCGCTCTTCTCCCTCTCTGTACCCCCCCCCCCCGTCCTCCTCATTTTGTTCCCTCTCGCCTCCCTCCCTCCCCTGCCCCCCCCACTCCTCCCTCACTACCCCCCTTTTCCTCCCTCACTGCCCTCCCTCCTCCCTCACTGCCCTCCCCCCCTCCCTCACTGTACTCCCCCCCCCTGGCTATCCCCCCTCCCTTTCCCCTCTCCACCCTCCCAGCCCCCTCCTGCAGCTTCTCATTCCACACTCCCATCTGTTTTCCCCGTTGAGCGTGCTCTCCCTCTCTTCCTTTTCTTATCGTCGTCTCTCTCTCGCCTTCATAATCGTAGTGTTCACCTGCCTTCATAAGTGAAGCGGGTAGTGAGTAGCGCATTGGTTAGGCCAGTGTGCTCCTCACCCCTATTAAACCAGAGTCGGATTCCCGGGCAGGGCGAGCTATAAGGCGTTTTGGCGAGTTTCTCTACATCTGATGCCTCTGTTCACTCAGGCATAGCCACCGAACAAATGGAATGCATTAGGAAGTAATGTGGTGGAGGCTGACTCCATACACATTTTCAAGTGTAGATATGATAGAGCCCAATAGGCTCGGGAACCTGTACACCAGTTGATTGACGGTTGAGAGGCGGGACCAAAGAGCCAGAACTCAACCCCCGCAAGCACAACTAGGTGAGTACCGGAGGTTTAGGGGGACCCGTTGTGGGTTGCATCATGGCGAAAAGTTAATCGTTAGCCCCAGGTTCCCGACAATGGTAGACCAATTGGGTCGTTCACGGTGAGGTAGACGAGCCATAATAACTTCAACATTTGCCCACCGGCCAGGAGAAAGAGCGAGCAATGTTAATCTTCTTGCTTGAGGAGCTGTTCACTCGAGACAGTTAAGCAAGTCCCAGCTGTGTCTGGGTACAAGTGACAGGATGAACAACCCAGCGGGTTTTCTTCCTTTTGGGGAGTGTTGTACATGCTGCTATGGCGGTGTGTCCACTCACAGGATGAGTGGCGCTGCTCAATACTGTCACTATGGCGGTGTGTCCACTCACAGGATGAGTGGCGCTGCCCAATAAACTCGCCCCTCGGGGCAACATAAACAAATTAAAGGCAGTATAATTAACTAGGGGACCGAACGGCGTGTATGTGAAACATTCTCTTAGCACTGTGTGTCCCGCTCCTAGACGGGGCCCGGTGATTATTGCTCTCATTATATTCAGTCGTGATTTTGCTTTCTCCCTCACGTATTGAACTTGCTGCTTGAATGTCATTTTAGAATCTATCCACACTGAGATATTGTGTAACCCACTGAAGGTTTTCTTGTTGATAATGTGACACCCAGTTTTCCCCCCCATGGTGTGACACAGTTTCCCCCCCCCCCCCCCATGGTGTGACATCCAGTTTTCCCCCCCCATGGTGTGACACCCAGTTTCCCCCCATGGTGTGACACCCAGTTTCCCCCCCCCGTGGTGTGACACCCAGTTTCCCCCCTCCATGGTGTGACACCCAGTTTCCCCCCTCCATGGTGTGACACCCAGTTTCCCCCCCCCCCCATGGTGTGACACCCAGTTTCCCCCCCCCCCCACGGTGTGACACCCAGTTTCCCCCCCACGGCGTGACACCCAGTTGAGCCTTGTTAGTGGGCAGTTGTTTGAAGGTGTGATTGTAAGTTTAGAGAGGACGCCTGGGGTCTCTGGGCATTATCATTATAATATAATTCATTGTGTCTGGGGACAGGAAGCCAGAGTGTATTCATACACGTTAGTCTTTTATCGAGGCCCCCCCCCCACCCCCAAGGTCGAATTACTGACCCCGCCCAGGATGCAACTCCACAACAAACTGACTAACTCTTGAGTATACCTACTTGCTGCTAGGTGAACAGGAGCATTAGGCGATAGGAAATGTGCCCAATCATTTGTGTCCCGCCCGCCCGTTATACACAACCTTCCCCAGCCACGATGACAACCTGGGGGTGGAGATAGTGTCAAGTATGTCATGTCTTGACGGCGTGTTGGCAGCAGCTGTCAATCACGTCCACAGTACATTCCACGCCCCCGCATGTGTAATCGGATGGACTTTTCTCAACATTCTGCATGTTCCAGTCGCAGATGAAAAGTCACAATAACGTGACTGAAAAATGCTGACCAACCTACACACAAGAAATTAAATACGACGTTTCGGTCCGTACTGGACCATTATCAAGTCGATTGTCCTTGATATAATGGTCCTGGACGGACCGAAACGTCGTCTCTTCAGCTTCTAGTGTGTGGTTTGGTGAACACTTTGTCACCTGCAACGTTTTGGTATGCAAATAATGTTTGCTTCTCTGAAAGGTCTGGTATCTCGCTCTCTCTGGATGCCAGCATTTCGTTGGTGTGTGTCGAGTTGGGATGGTTTTGATCTGGCGGAGTTGGATTGGTGTAGTGAAGGTATTCGAGGGCTCCTGACCTGTTGAGCTTCCTTCCAAGGACACCGCTCCGTATTGGTGTCCTAAACTGCGTATTTAGGCCTGAAGATAGTCGTGCAGGTGGGCGGCGTCGGTGAGTTTCAGTGGAGACAGGTGAGGAGGGACCTGCCCGCGTACTATTTTTCTTTTTAAAATTCTCGTTCAGGTGTGATGGGCGGTGGGAGCCGGTGGTGGGCGGCTCTGGCCGGTGGTGGGTGGCAATGCATACACCATGTTTCCTAGAGTGAGAGATATGGTGGCAGTGTCCTTGATTGGTAGGTTTCCCAGTCCCCACCACCGCCCGTGCTGCCCGCCGCCCTCACCACCACCACACAGGTCTCAGGTGTGTGTGTGTGTGTGTGTGTGTGTGTGGGGGGGGGGGGGGTCACCACCACACGTTTCCATTGCGGTAACGTCAAGTGGTCACACCTTGGAACGGTATGACGTCACGCAACTAAATGGTATGACGTCAATTAGAGGGTATGATGTAATATTGATGTCAGTAAGGGATGTTCGGGGTGAGAGGCGAGCCACCTGTGGATTCCTGTACAAAATGTGGACTAAATCACATACCAAAAATCCACCTTGTATAGATGAACTGAGAAGCGAGGCAAAGACCAATTCTGAATTTTCCATAGACCTAATACGGTACATATGTACTCAATTGGTTGTAAGATTGCATACGTTAGACCTAGGATTACGCATTTAGGCCTAGGGTAGGTCAGGTCAGGTCAGGTCATCCACAGTATGCTGGTAAAAGTTGCTCAGGGAAAATTTTACTAGCACCACTGCTCGCCAAGAATGATTGTCTGGATAAAAAATATAAAATGGTGTTAACACAAGTATATCATATATTTAGTTACACTTTATGCATTTGAACTAAACTAATTTTGAGCTCTAACGCGTAATACCCTCCATAGCCATCTACATCAAAAGAAGAAAGTAGTTACACCTAAAGGACAAAGATTAAATGTTCGACACGTCCTCTCCCTCCGACGTCCACACAGCTACTGACTGTTTAAACTCGAGGAGGGCAGCTGCTGCCCCCCCCCCACCCATCATTTTGTTGCCAGCTCTACATAACCACCATTGAGGCAGCTTAACTCTTAACATAACTCTCACAACTTCACTAAATACTAACCAGTAGCAGTCACCTACATTCATCAGCAATAATGTTAACACATTCTTCCCAGACTACATAATAGGTATCTGCATTCAGGGCTCCATATTCTATCCTTTTAAATGTCAAGTGGAAGATACGGCAATACTGCCCCCTCCCTCTCTGCCTTTGGGCAGATCACTATAGTCTGCTTGAAGCTGCTGACGATTGACCGAGTTAGTAATAGATTCCACATAGTCAGTTTTCTCTACTCTTCGTCAATTACTTCAGTTCCCTGTACATGTTAATAATAAAGTTAGAACTGCTTGGCCCTTGCATGCAAATTTAGCACAATTTCATTCTCTTACACATAACCTATTTGTTCGAAATAAATGTATGTAAACCTACCTTGATTTGCACATCACATATCAATCACTCAATCCGAACATGAAACTAATAAAGTAGGAATTAACGTTAATATTAAATGAATGATATTGAAATGAAACCATAAGCCTATCGCTGTTAAATTTTGCATGCAATGTGCTACCAATATTACTCTACCTCCCATTTTAAAGTTGATTAAATTCCACGCAGTATGTTACCTCGGCAACATCTTGAAATACTAACACTCAGGAAAGCCAGTCGTGTATGTAAACGAACATAACACCTTGACTAGGTAAGTCACAACACCTCCAATACCCAAGTCATAACAGTGAAGTCTATGATATCATTTCCATTCTTGCACAAGTTTTGAGTCCCACTGTTCCTTCGGTACAGGAACCTTTCATTGTGGTGGAGGGACTGTATGGATGCACCGACCGCCTGGAGGACAGCTGAGGGGTGGCGTGAGAAACTCCTCTTCTGCCCTAAGGATAGCAGACAGACTAAGTGTGTTCTGTTCTTTTGGAGGAATCCTTGGGGGACCCGTTAAGCTTCGGAGCACCGTTAAACTTCCTGTTTGTGTTTTCCTGTTGGGGGAAGTCCAGCCAGATGGTGAAGTGAGAGTGACTGCTGGGAGCGGGGGAGGAGGGAGGGGGTTTAAAGTGAGAGTGGCTACTGGGAGGGAACAGGGTTCTAAAGTGATAGTGACTGTTGGGAGCGGGGGAGAAGGGAGGGGGTTTAAAGTGAAAAGTGTAATATTAGGCATACCGCCTCATGCAGACAGGCCTTACTTTTCTTCCCAACTGTTTTCAGTAATATTTACTCTGAAGGACGAGTCCTGCCTCCCGAAGCATGAGTACCGCCATGAGTGCCGGCGTGAGTGCCACCTGCTGCCATACACAGCCAGTACGAGGCGCTAGAAGTGGATATGAGTGGCTCTTATCTCCCGAGACTTGTCCAGGTGCTGGAGACCACGAGGAAGATGGTAATTACATCGTTATCAGATAAAAGCATCTACTACTAAATTGTTATGCATGGCTCATTCAACGAGGTGTGTGTGTGTATATATATAAATAATATATATAATATATATAGATATATTTTATATCATATAAGTAACATGTAAACATAGGACCGAGAGATGTGGAGCAAAGAACCAAGCACACATCTTCTCTTACATTTAAATTCACTTAGAAAGGAAGTTAAAAAATTAAATCATTATATTTCATTTTAAATAGGGTATTGGTATTGAGCAGGGTGTAGGGTATACCCAGGAGTATATCGACAACAGGACACACAGCCCCGCTCCTGTGCCAGGTAAGTTACTGGCTCACCATAGCCCGTGCTACTTGGAACGTGTTCCGAGTATCTGAATCTATAACAACAGCTGGCAAGAGATACCAAACCCGTGCATCACTGCCTTTGCTACCGTGTGTGAGAATATTACATTACGTCGATATTCCCGTATTGCCAAGGAAGTAGTTCCTTGAAGGGTTGTATAGAATGTGCTTGTACTCCTTCATGGGGTTTTTATTTCAACGTTCCACGACTCGGTACTTCTCCTCCTCTTCCTCACCATCCGTGTCTGGTGGTAGTGTGGCGTCCACTGTCATACCAAATAGTGCCTCATACTTCAAGGCCTTATTACTCTTATAGGTCACCTCGTAGTCGACACTTCTTTATATGAAACCATTTTTTTATGATTGGCTTAGCGATTGTTAGTGATGATTGTAGTGGTGATGTGCGGGGGTACTGAGCCCCGGGGGGGGGGGGTGTAGAGCCCTGGGGGGAGTGTAGAGCCCCGGGGGTGGGGGGTGTTTGAGCCCGGGCCGCGGCCGGTGTGTGGGGTTGGCGTGTCAACAAGTATGATATATGAACGCGTGCCTCTATATATATCTAAATATCTGTTCGTCCACATTTGTAGACGTGTGTCAATACACAGGTGTGTTTGTTCATGATAATTCTACAGGACACGTGTTTGTCGTGTGTGTGTGGGGGGGGGGGGGGGGGGGGACGCATGTGTGTAATGATATGCACATGGAGAAATATGCAAGATCTCTAACAGATATAACAACACTAATATTCGTCGACACGTTCTGAACCTTTCCCCCCCCCCCACTTATATCCTCCCCCCTTATATCCTCCCCCCTTATATCCTCCCCCCCTTATATCCTCCCCCCCTTATATCCTCCCCCCCTTATATCCTCCCCCCTTATATCCTCCCCCCTTATATCCTCCCCCCCTTATATCCCCCCCTTATATCCCCCCCTTATATCCTCCCCCCTTATATCCTCCCCCCTTATATCCTCCCCCCCTTGTATCCTCCCCCCCTTGTATCCTCCCCCCTTGTATCCTCCCCCCTTATATCCTCCCCCCCTTATATCCTCCCCCCCTTATATCCTCCCCCCCTTATATCCTCCCCCCCTTATATCCTCCCCCCCTTATATCCTCCCCTACTTATATCCTCCCCCACTTATATCCTCCCCCCCTTGTATCCTCCCTCCCCCCCTTGTATCCTCCCTTCCCCCCTATATCCTCCCTTTCCCCCCCCCTATATCCTACCCTCTCCTTCCCGGGGCTCCACATTTCTCAGACTACTCACAGGGTTGTTAGTGTGGCTCGTAAAGCTCCATCTGGCCAAAGGATTGGATACTTGACTAAGGGTTATGGTCACACAGCTCTATCCCTTCCGGTTTGCGTCTTCCTGTTGGGTAGTATAGCCGAGATTGTAAACCTAAATCAAATCAAAGATTTGATGAGTAATATCCTTACACAAAGAATTCCTATGGTCTCACTAGACAGCCTCAAGACGTAGGTAGTATTCTATCTTGAGACGATTTCGGGGCTTAGCGTCCCCGCGGCCCGGTTATCGACCAGGCCTCCTTTTTTGTTGCACATCCCCCAGGAAGTAGCCCGTAGCAGCTGTCTAACTCCCAGGTACCTATTTACTGCTGGATAACAGGGGCATCAGGGTGAAAGAAACTCTTGTCCAATTGTTTCCGCCTCCATCGGGGATCGAACCCGGAACCTCAGGACTACGAATCCGAAGCGCTGTCCACTAAGCTGTCAGGCCCCTAAAAAACAAATCTACATATCTACATATATGTAGATATTAGAGGTAGTATTGAAGATATTAGAGATAATATTGAAGATATTATATTTAATATTGAAGATATTAGAGGTAGTATAGATAATATACGAAGATAATATTGAAGATGATATAGATAATATTGTAGAGATTATAGCTAATATTGTAGATATGTTAGATATATTTGATACTAAACCTTACACATGTAGATAGCTCGCTCATTTTTTTCTTTTCGAGAAAGTTTAAAAGTTATAATAGACGAGAGACTTGCAATAGAGGCGTGGGTGTTGGTCCGACTGTGGGGTGTGAGGGGGAGAGTGGGGGAGTTACACAATGGCTGAGGGGTAGTGTTGTCGCTCGTGGCACGACTCCTCGTGTGGTGGGGAAAGGGGGAGAAGGGGGGCAGGGAGAGGGGGGGAATATGTTGGAGGGGGGGGGCAGGCAGGATGGGGTTTAATAGGGGTTGTGGTAGGGGGGGGGGAGGTGTAGAGGGAGAAGGGGTTATTGTGGTTGTGTAGGTGTGTGTGTGGTGGGAGGAAAGAGTAGTGGGAAGGGGGAGCTATGGAAACAATGTCTGTTTGTGGAATCTATATATTTACATTTCTGTGGCCTATTAAGCAGTTAATATACGAAAATATATAATGTATGCTGTTAATATCTGCAAAAAACATTTAACATATGCAGTTAAACATATGCAAAAACCTATAATATGTGCGAAAACCTAATAAATTAAAACGATTTATCTCTCAACTATATATTTTTATTCCACACTTTTGGTGTACAGGATTTTACAATATATTTAGTGCAGTTTAAACACTTAAGTGGAAAGGCAAATAACTATAATATTTTTGCCATTATTGAAGCATGTTGGTGGAAGAGCAGGCTCTGGCTCCTCCAGGCACTCCTCCAGGCACTCCTCCAGGCACTCCTGGGAATGTGTGCCATCCTGGCTCCTGAGTCTCCAGGTGGGAGACTTCACACTGCAGATGGAATGGGAAGTTTGCATGGAGGCTGCAATGTGGACAGGTAGGAAGAGAGGGTAGGGGGTGTGGAGAGGGGGGTGTTGCGGGGGTTCAGGGGTGGGGGTGACGAGAGGGCGGGTGTGTGTGTGTGTGTAGGTGGGGTGGGTGGGGGGTTAGTGTTGGCTAGTGTTGCAAGCTGGGACCTTCAAGACACACAATGTTTCCCTTCTGAGAGGTGTATTGTGAATGACAGTTTGGGAGGGGGGGGGGGTACTGGGCGGACTCGCAAGGACCCCCCCCCCCAACGGGGTGATGGTTGGGGGGAGGGGGAGGGGGAGGAAGATAGGGAACCAGGGGAAGGGGGAATGAGGAATTTTTTTATCATTTTTCTACCACAGACGTGGCCACACATTTACAATGCTAACCAGAATATATACATTTTCTTCTGTCCTCCATGGACAGGGTGAGAGATCTGTTAAACATATAGTTCAGTGATTTATTGATCAATCAACCACAGGAGGTGATTAAGATGCTTTTACAAGCTCAGGTTATAGTTACATAACATACATTGTATATCTGCTGCATTACATAGTCAATCTTGGGTGGGGGTGGTGTGTGTGTGTGTATATATATATATATATATATATATATATATATATATATATTGGTGTATACTGGCAGCAGGTTTTCTTTCAAACATGTTTCATTGAATATGACCGCATATTCTGTATTTATTATTTTCTGGTTTAGGGCTTCTATCCCTCTAACTATTTTCTTAGCATCAGGGCTTAATTGAAAATTTCAATTAAGCCCTGATGCTAAGAAAATAGTTAGAGGGATAGAAGCCCTAAACCAGAAAATAATAAATACAGAATATGCGGTCATATTCAATGAAAATATATATATATATATATATATATATATATATATATATATATATATATATATATATATATATATATATATATATATAATATAATATGTCGTACCTAGTAGCCAGAACGCACTTCTTAGCCTACTATACAAGGCCCGATTTGCCTAATAAGCCAAGTTTTCATGAATTAATGTTTTTTCGACTACCTAACCTACCTAACCTAACCTAACTTTTTCGGCTGGCTAACCTAACCTAACCTAACCTATAAAGATAGGTTAGGTTAGGTAGGGTTGGTTAGGTTCGGTCATATATCTACGTTAATTTTAACTCCAATAAAAAGCAATTGACCTCATACATAATGAAATGGGTAGCTTTATCATTTCATAAGAAAAAAATAGAGAAAATATATTAATTCAGGAAAATTTGGCTTATTAGGCAAATCGGGCCTTGCATAATAGGCTGAGAAGTGAGTTCTGGCTACTAGGTACGACATATATAAATATATATATAAATATATCAATATATTCAAGTGTTCAATATATCAAGTATATATATTAATATATATACTTGATCAATATATTCAAGATATTCAAGTGTCCAATATATCAAGTGTTCCTGTATTCGGATTGCATTTGCAGAGTTCAGCATACCTCAGCCCAGGAGGGCGAAAGTCAGTCAATATGGGACATTCTACAATATAATGTTCAAAGGGAGGGGAGAGAGAGAGAGGGGGGGGGGCACTGTTTTGCATAAACGGTGTAACAACTTTCCCCCCATTTTTTTTTTGGGGGGGGGGTGTCTCATGGAACCCCAATTAAAATGTGCCTGTGTTAGATAAAAAATAATTATAAAAAATACAAAATATATATATATATATGTACAATTTTGAACACTAATACAATTTTGTAATGGCTTGAATAACATCCTATTTAAAAACAATAGCATATAGATTTAAAGCAAGAAATTTAATATTGGAACAAATGATCGTATTTTGTTTTTTAATTATGCAATACGGAAAATGAAAATATTTAAACAATTTTTTTATATGAATGTCTATCTAT